GCCGTTGCACCCCCACCCAGGGCCCCTAGGATGGGGGTTGTCCTGTGGTCAGCAGAATGGAGCCCCAGGTACTTGGATGTTATCTAAGGCTGTGTTCCTTCCACTTGGTGGTAAAACCATTGGAGCCTCTTAGCATCAATATTTCACACCTTCTTCCCTCTACCAATCAATCTGTGATTGATTACTTTTTTCAGAGAAAATCTGATTTAATTCTCACCTGTTCTAAACTTATGGCATAATCAGATACCTCTCAGAACAGAGGAGAACACAGATTTACTTATCACATGTCAGAACAGAAAGAAAGCCTATTTTGAAGTCAGACCTGGGTTTTAGTGCCCACTCTGCCACGTTCTGGTCGTGTGACCTTGTCCCTTTTTATCACAGTTGCATCTTCTCTTGATCCTCCCGCCACCTGTACTTCTGTCCCCCTCAAAGACAGCTGCTATACTAGTAGAGGACATCACCATTGTGCTCTGGATCTCTGTCTTTAGCACACACGTCTTGTACCAGACGTCCTTTGTAGGTACCTCACCCCCACCTGCAGTGCCCCTGCTTCCTGGCAAGTCATCACACTCGTGACCTCTTGCGACTCTGTGCCTTCACCCTGAGGCAGGGGAATTTGGAAACTCAAATTTGCCTTTTGCAGCTTTAACCTAGTAGTTAATGAAGTTATTTAAATCCACTAAGATAATTTCCTCATTTGTAAAATTGGAATAATAATGCTGTACTTAGTATACAAGTTGCTGCAAAGATTAACATTGGAGAGACTTGAAGGTTTCTGATAGATGGCAGTTTTAATTGGTAGCCTACATATTTATTATTTCAGCTCCCATGTAGCCACTGGGCAGCTTCTATGGCTTAGTCCAGCTCCCAGCATTAGTGCATTAGTCAAGCCCCACAAAATGTTTGTAGAAGGTCGATTCAGAGGGCAACCTCGTCATTTTAAAAATGAGAAAACAGGTCCTAAGAGGCCATCAGTCCTGCTGATCTTTAAAATAAGGCTGCCACTCTTCTCTGGGGTGTCAGTCATTCCTTTGTAAATTATCACTTGGGCAGTTTCTAAGGTTCAGTGCCAGGCTCTGCCGTAGGAATGAGCATTAGTAATTAATTGTTGGAAGGTAAGACGGGCACACTACGAATCAGCAGCATATTTACTGTGTGTGTAAAGGAGTAAAAGGGGTAATGTATTTAGCAGATATTTATCAAGTGCCAATTATGTGTCAGGCATTTGTGTTAGGTGGTAGATGTGCAAACTTGGCTGCGGGACTTTGGTGGTGACCTAACAATGTTTCTCTGAGCAAATGCCATTTGAGCCGAAATGTGAGGATGAACAGGATTTGGGCAGGTGAAAATGGAAGTTGCAGCACAAAGTCCCTCCCAACTCTGGACTGTTCTCTCACTTGCACAACTTTGTTGCTAGGTTTGCTGGTCTTTGCATTCTTCACTGTGTGCGAATTTTCCTAGCACATTATCTATTTCCTATTACTCTTCAGTTTGTTCCTGATCCCATGTATCTTCCCAATAAAAGAGGAACACCAAATTTGTTGATTTAGTTCATTTATCTCATCTGTTTTGCCTTTCACAGAAAGTTTTCCTAGTTTCCTTTCCCAGACATCTTTAGAGGGCATTATTGGTGCCCCATCTATTGCTCTTGAAGCACACCATTCCTTTAATGCCAGAGGCTTTCTGCACATAAATATGACTCCATGCTTGAGGGCTTTCTCTGGGCAGGGAATGCTAACGAGTTAAAATTCAGCACCCCACTGATGACTGCCAGTAAATGCTAGGGTCATGACCAGCACCCAAGTCCTTGGGTGCGACAGCTCTGGGGCAGGTTCCAGACGGTTTCCTAGAGTTCCCAGAAAATTTTAACCCACTGCCCTCACTAGTAATCTGCTCATTCACACACCCTGAGTTGGCTTCCTTCCCTTCCATGTCTGTCTTCTCCACTTCTTCCTTTACTTCCTGGCATTACTTCCCAAGTAAACTTGTTGAATCAAACCCTTAATTTCTGCTTCTGAGGATCTCAAACATAGATAGACTCTCTAAATCCTCATTCCTTGGATTTTTGCTCATTGGTGAAAATAGTAAGCAGCATTGAAATGAAATGGTTTTCAGGAAAGAAAAATATGCAGACTTAATGGGGGAAGGAGAGGAAGAGAAATGAGAGTGAGGAGCCATTATTGTGCTAGCTTTTTGTCCTTGCGACAAAATACCTGAGAAGAACAACTTACAGGAGGAAAGATTAATTTTGGTCCAGGATTTCAGTCCAGTCAGCTGACTCCATTGTTTTAGGCCTGTGGCGAGGCAGAAACATGGCAGAGGAAAGCTGCTCATGTCTTGGCAGCCAGGAAGAAGAGAAGGAGAAAAAGACCAAAAGGAAGAGGCCAGGAAAAAGATACAGTTCCCAAAGGTCCTGCCCCTATGACTCTCCCTTTCTCCAGGTCCCACTGATGATAACCCATTCAGCTATTAACTCAGTGGATTAATTCATTTATGGGGTTAACACGCTCTTGAGCTGATCATTTCCCAAAGCCAGCTAAAACAGCTGCATTACTTAATCTTTCTTCATACATCATTTAATGCCCACGTTGTACAACTATGCAAGATAAATCTGTTTATCCTCAGTGCTGCAGATGGAAAACAGAGGCCCGGAAAGATGCTGAAGTTCTCAGACTTGGGGGCGGGCAGCATAGCTGGGATTCCTATCAAAGCTGATCTTTTTTCCTCAGTTCAGTATTTTTCAGACTTGTCAGGGAGACCACACACCTGGTATCAGGATAGCTTTGTGGATCATAGTAAATTTTCAACCTATTACAATCAAGCTACCCAAAGGTGTTATTTTTGCCAGAGCAAATACTAGAATCTTATCTATGTATGCAAGAGGCAGCAGAAGTCAGAATTAAACTTAATGAGAAAAATTTGAGAAAAGCCTGTCTTTTGACTTCTTTTCTAATTTGGTAAGCAGGCAGGAACTTGTTTGAGAACTTTTGTCCTCCATGTTGGCTGGGGAAGAACTTTGGCAGCAACAGAAAGATTGTTGTACTGAGGAACCTGGGCATAACCTCCAGCTACTGTCACACTTGTTCAGTAAATATATAAATGGATGACTGGATTAGACTCTGTACTAGTTCCTGGAAATACAAAGAATGTTTAAAAAACAATATTAGCTTCTTGTTCCTAAGAATTTTTGGACTAGTGGAGGCCTAGAGAGATGGTCAAGGAAATAAAGCGATCATAGTACAAGAGTGAGTTGACCTTGATGGTATCACGTGAGACATTCTGTAGGAGCTGGGGCTTTAATAGCAGTTTAAGTTAAAAATGAAGAGCCGCTATAGGAAGGACAGAGCACAGAAGAGGCATTGAGATATGACACAGAATGGCTCATTCTAAGAATTACAGGAAGCTTCAAATGTCTGGAAAACATTTCTAGATAAGGAGCCCAGGAAAAAAATGAGTTGGGTCCTGGCATGAAAGCTTTGAAATTCATGCTAAGAAGTGCAGACTTATGCTGAAGTATTTAGGGTTCTTTTGAAACGCTGTAATTGAGGGAAGGGTGTGATTGTCTAAGAAAGACTTGGGGATACTCCTAGGGGCAACAGCTGTGATGTTTGTCACTCTCTTGGTGCTGTGCATTATGCACTCAGTCCCCTGCACAGTGACTCATTCAACATCGATGGTACATAAACTAGTGTTTTTAAAGGTGGCTGGGGGGAAAAAAGATATCAGTAGAATTAGAAGGTCAGCCAGGCGCAGACGTACTATGTTCATCAACCACTCTTCAGTATTTCTTTGCTGCCTGCCCATTTCCTGCTTGGCCATTTTATATTATCCTGATCTCGTCGTCTTTTTTGTGTATTCGTAGGTAAGAGATGAATACTTGCTGAATAGCTAATTCGAGACTGCTGTCATAAACTAAGAAAAATGGTATTTCTGCATCCACCTTTCTATCCCTCCAGTCTGTTCTGAACACAGTAGCCAGAGTAATCATTTTAAAACTTTACTGACATCCTGTCACTTTGCTCCGAATCCTCTAGTAGTTGAATTAAGAGCCAAAGCAAATCCTTACCATGACACACAAATCCTCTATGACCCTACTGTTCTTGCCTTCCTCTGCTCCTCCAGGCTGGCCCCCCTTGTGTTTCCTCCAAGCGGACATGCTGTGCCCAGCACCTAGAACCTCCCCTGTATACCCAGTTTCCTCCCTCCCTGGGTTCAAGCTTCTGCTTAGAGATCACCGTCTTAGTAGAGCCTCACTGACCACTCTTCAGACTTGGTTACCTGTCCCTGAACTCTCCATTCCCTCCCTTACCTTGCTGAATTTTTCTGCATAGCACTCGTCCTTTTTACCATGTCACATAATGTATCTGTTTTTCATGGGTGACTGTCTGTTGTCCCTCACTGGCATGTATGCCCTATGAAAGTAAAATACACGTCTGACTTAATGTGTTTGCTCTTCTTTTCCTGAATACCTGAAACAATACTATCCGGCACTGGAGTAGGGGCTGAGTTCATATTTGCAGAATTAAGAACTGACTGCATCCTTCTGCTACTGCTCCGTGAGGCGCGGACTTCAGTGTGCTTTCTGTACACCTGAAATAAGAGGGAGGAAGCTGCAGGTCCACACCAGATAGAAACAAGACCTTCCTTAGTGACCCCAATATCTTGATGGGCTTGATGGCCACAGTATCTTGATAGGCTGGGAGCTTGCTCTGTGGCACTGTTAATGTCCCCACTCATAGCTGGCTGGCTGGTTTTGAAGGGAAGAATGACAGGGAAAGTATTCTTGGCTTTCTCTCTTCTTGCTGCTAAGAAAATGAGGAACTCACTTCAGGATATGTAAACAGTAGTTTGGACAGAAAACTAAATGTGAGGATGAGGAATTCAGTTAGGATCAAATACCCCTTTTAGCTAAATATTATGTATCCTTTACATGCTTGGAAAGATTCAGTAGACCTGACAGGGAAGATCAGTGATGGGAAATTTTTGTCTCTTCCTAGGTGTTTCATGGGACTCCCTCCCAGATGAGCTGCTCCTAGGGATTTTTTCCTGTCTGTGCCTACCCGAGTTGCTGAGAGTCTCTGGTGTGTGTAAGAGGTGGTACTGCCTCGCGTAAGTACTTTTCACCACTTTGGGCATATGTGGGGGAAGTAGGGAAGGGGAGGTTGTGTATTCCTGGTAAAGCTTTAAAAAAAAAAAATAAATAAAGCAAACTAGTCATCGTCCTTAATTAGTATCCTCATTTCAGAGAGAAAGAGAGGAGTCTCCTGGAGGTATAAAATCACCCCATTTCTGACAGTCTCTTTGCCCACATTCAGCAGAGCACCTGCTTACCGAGTGTGGCATGTGGGCCAGGCACCGTGCTCGGAGCAAAGGGAGTTCTGGACAGCTGTGGAGAGCTGTGTCCCACTGGAGCCCACTGGGAGAGAATATGGGGCTCTGGTCTCAGACCCTTGTGTGAGCCCAACCTCTGCCACATATGCCACCATGACCTGAGCAAGTTCTGTGACACTTCTGAGCCTCGGTCTCATTTGTGAAATGGGCATAATGGTGCCATCAGTGCAGGGCAGTTACCAGGATGTAAAGATGCTGGTACAGCGCTTGACTCACAGGCATGCGGAACACAAAGAAACCCAGTAGGTGTTTTTTGCTGATTTTGGTAGCGTGTTTGAGGTGTGGATGGTGAGCTGGGATGGTAGGCCTGAAGCGAGAAAAAATCTTTTTTTGTATTGAGGAGGAAACTCCAGGCCTGGGGTAAGAACTGTACCCCTGAGCCACACTCACATGTGACAAAACTTTTTAAATTGGAACTTTTTGCCAGTTCCAACCCTCCTCGGCCCTACCCTGGAGCACCAGGAATCGAACTCAGGACCTTGAGGATGCCAGGCAGGTGCAACGCCACTGAGCTATGTCCATCGCCCACCACTGGTCATTTCTTGCTTTCTTTGGAGACCATCTTTCTCACTTCTCACTCCACAAGTCTAGATCTCCTTTTGACACCTCCTTTTGAGAAGGAGGAGCTTCTTGCCATTAAGGCTGTGCTAGACATAAGGCAGTATAGGTATCTGCAGGAGTAGACTGTATTTGCTTAGAAGATAGGGGTTTGCACACCTGGAATGCAAGTGTTGACTGAGTTTCACTCATTGCCATCCAAGAAATTCCAGATGTTTTTTTCTTTATTCCACCAGTTTTGCAATTGTCCACTCCTTGAACAATCTGCTTTTTTAAAAATTGTATTATTTATATTTAAGGTATACATGATGTTTTGATGTACATGCAGTGAAATTAATATATTGCAGAATATATTAATATACCCATTGTTTCACATAACTGCCCTTTTTGGCTAGAAAAACGTCTGAAATATACTTTTAGCAATATTGTTCACCAGTAGTCCTCATGTAATACATTAAATCAGAAGACTTGTTAATCCTATCTATCTGCTGTTTTGTATCTTTTGACCTACATCTCCTCCATCAAGTCCATTAGTTTTCATTTTAGTTGTCATAAAGTTATAACTGACATTTATTAAGCATTTACTATGTACCAGGGACTGTTACCAGTTCAATATTCCTTACAGTCTTAAGTGACAGTATTTGTATTATCTCATTTTTATAGAAGACATCACAGAGGCAAGTGATACAGCAGTAATCTAAGGTCTGGCCAACTCCACAGCTCAACCATAGCTAGTTTTGTGTAGCCGAGGATTCAGATAGCTCCTGAATATATCTTCCTGTGTATGCTAAAGATAGATATTTCAAAACTTTTCCCAGACTGTTCTAGAATGCTGGGTAAGCTGTTGTTGTTTGCCTTTACAAGGATTAAGTCAGGCATGAGATTTGAGATAACCAGAACTTGAGCTGGTGTAATTTTCTCAGAAGTGGACCTGAGTCTGGGAAAGAAATTACAAAAATTCCGTCTCTTGAGGATATTTTATGTACAGCCATCCTTTTTAGTAATGGAGGTCAAATTACACACTGACAATTACAAAATTATTTAAAACCCTGGTCACTTATATCAAGCACTATTTAAAAAGGGAATTCTAGAACCCCTGATTCTCCGTCATGTGCTTGTATTGCTCATTTTCTTTTGTTCAACTGAATCCAGCTGTGGATATTAAAAATCCCTTACTGGGCTACTTCCCTTTTGCCTTAGAAACACTGTCCACATCTAATTATCTTTCCCTGTCCCTTTCACATGAATACATGCACACACATGTACACATACACAGATATATGCACATGCATGTACGTGATTTCAGGTACCACAAAGTAGAGCTGCACTCTGACTCAGTTTTCCTAGATGTCTATGACAGCTATATCCCATAATAGTACTACACTGTCTTCCTTCAGTTATATTTGCATGTTATTTTTGGTAATTGAGACTTGTCCATGCTTAACAAAAATGGCAAATAGGATTATTTAAGGAAGTTTTGAAACTACTCATCTAGTAATAATCAGTTAAGCAATTTTAATAATCAGTTTTAAGCTTGTCATATTAAATCACATACTTATTTGATTTATTCCCAATTTCTGGATCATTAGCAATCTTTTTTTTTTTGGTACCGATGATTGAGCACTCAGGCTTTTGCGAGCCAGGTGGCAGAACCACTGAGCCAAGTCCCTGCCCCAGCAGTCCTTAATTTAGTATCAAACCAATTGGGAATATATAGAAAGATGGATGCTTATCCATGTTAGGATCAAGCAATAATAGGAGCATAGGTAATTGCACAACCTGAAAACAGAAGAATTTGCTTCGGGGAGATTAAGCAGCTCTGTCTTCCTTTTGAGTGAAGGCCTCTAGCGTTCATTGTAATAGATTTGCCAGGTCAGGCCTCTCTTCTCTTCCAGGTTTGATGAGTCTCTTTGGCAGACCCTAGACCTTACAGGTAGAAATCTGCACCCAGATGTCACTGGTCGGTTGTTGTCTCGAGGAGTAGTTGCCTTCCGTTGTCCACGATCATTTATGGACCAACCATTGGTTGAACATTTCAGGTACAAAAGAAAACTGCTTGGCAAAGACTATTTATTTATTTTTATTTATTTATTTTATTTATTTATTTATTCATTTTTATTTTTTTGGTACCGGGGATTGAACTTGGGACCTTGAGCTTGTCAGGAGGGCAGCAGCACCACTGAGTTAAATCCCTGGCCCTATTTATTTTAATCTTGAGGGAGAAACAGATCAAAACTCTTTTTATTCTTTACGTCATCTTACAATCTGAGACAGGTCATCTGTGCAGTTGAGGTGTTAATTGCATATTGTGCCCTGTGGCCCTTGGGTTTTCAGTGCCACTGTTCACAGTGTAGTGCAGGATTACTGTTGGGCTCTTCCCCAAATCAAAGATGATCACCTAGAGGGCTGAGCGTGTGGTTCAGTGGTAGAGCGCTTGCCTGGCATGCATGAGGCTTTTACTTCAAGCCCTAACACTGCCCTCCCGCCAGAATTCATTTAGCTCCTGGGGTTGGGTTCTCGGCAAATGAGAATTGTGGATCTTACAAAGCAAAGAGGGCAGAACACTCATCAGTAAATGAGGGCTATCTAGTTCTTTCCTTGCTGCCCATTTCTATTAAACAAAAAAGTGGGAGGTATGTAGCTTGGGCTTTCTGTCCTATCATGGACAGAACTGCAACCTACTAAAAAAGAAAAAAAGCCCTCTTTTTTTTTTGTTTGATAGACTATTTTGAGACGGTATTTCTCTGTTGCTGATAATTATGCAGTATTAAGGTTTAATGCTACATCATGCTTGAGTGGGATGACTACTGAAAAGAAAAACAAGCTGAAGGCAGTAGAGCTAAGGGTAAAACATATCTCTTTCCTCTGTAGAGCTTTTTCCCTTCTTTCCACCATCAGAACCTCTTTCCCTGTTTTTGTCTACTGCCAAGGCCAGTCCTTCTTAGTCTCCTTTACACATGTGATTTATTATGTTCACAACAACATCTGTTAACTCACTGCTTTTCTTTTTAATCCACACACTGTTCTTGGACAAGCTGTGTCCTGTACACCCACCTGTATGCTCAGGACTCTCCAATCCTTATCTGTAGCTCAGCCTTCCCTTTCACACTGCCTGAAAATTTCTACATCTGAATTTGTTCAAGTACATCAGTGTTACCAAATCTAAAATTAAACTTGGTTTTCCTTTAAAAGTTGTTCCTCCACTCTCTCCCCATTTTGTTTCCACTGCTTCTCACCCACTCATCCTCGACAGAAATGAGGAGTCATGATAGGCTAAGTCTCCTTATATGTACACCCAGCTCATTCTCATTAATTTTGTAACTGGCACTGTACTGATACCAACATCTGTACTTGGCAAAATCCTCTTGAATTTTAAATTCCTGAGAACAGGAATGGAAATTAGCTAGCAGTAATTTGTTTTATGACCAGAACTATGTTCAGTATTTGACCAGAACTATATTCAGTACAGGGTCTTATTTATGATTCGCCGCTCATTTAGGAAGAAGTAGTAGTCAGATTTGATTAGATGCACTCGGGTGAACCATCTTACAGAACTTCTTTCTTCTCTTCTGTGCTTAGCCCTTTCCGCGTACAGCACATGGACCTGTCGAACTCAGTTATAAATGTGTCTGCCCTCCATGGCATTCTGTCTCAGTGCGCCAAGCTGCAGAATCTAAGCCTGGAAGGCCTACAGCTTTCAGATCCCATTGTCAAGTGAGTAGCAGCCAGTGTGTGTTACAAAGGCAGCTGTTACACATGTTAATTTTGTTCTATGGGACTGGGATACCACTCCATCCATGTCCAGATAGACAAAGAGAATATTTCATGCAGTGCTCCAGCTTCTGGGAAACTTTCCAGGATTTAAGGCAGCAAAAGTTTGAATCTACCTATGTGCCGGGCCCTGTACTAGGTGCTAGAGATGAAAAGATGAATAGTGAATGGTCTGTGTGCTATTTGTGGGTGAGGCAGATAATTATAGTGCCATGTGTTTGTTAAATGAACTGGTGATTATGTGGCAACACATGGGAGGTCTAATTAAATTATAGAGGGCAGCCTTCTCAGAGGAAGTGACTCATAAGTTGGGTATTAAAAATAGTCAGATAGGAGATCTCTGAGTGATAGGTCAAGGAAACAGCATAGGTAAAGTTGTTTGTTTGGTTCCATACTCTTTTAAATAGCTAAAGTTGCTGGTGCAAGGAACTCAGGGAAGGGAATGACAAGAAGAGAGTCAGGTGGGCAACTATGCAGGGCTGTAAGAAGTCCAGACTCTAGTAGACTATGAAGCAAGATGAAGAGAGTGGCTCTTGGAATAGATGAAACATTGGCAAGGCTGAAATTTAGAAAATTAACTTGCTAGGCACCCTGGGGGTGGAGGTAAGGGGACATAGAAGAAACTAGACTAGTTAAGACACCAGTGTGCTCATTCAGTTGAATAAAGATGAAACCTGATATAAGAATAGCTGCCTTTGTTGAGCACTTGTTATGTGCCATACATTTAAGTTCTTTAAATGTATTCTCATTTAATTCTGACAGCAATCCCTTTTTATAGATGTGGAAAGTCACATACAGAGTGGCTGAATAACTTCTCCCAACTTGTCCAGAGTCACACAGTTAGTGGGTGGCCAAACCAAGATTTACATGGCATTTACAATATGTTTCCAAAATTCCAGAATAATAGCTCTTAAACACTAAGTTTCCCAACATAGGATATTTAGGAATATAGTAAAAGAGAGGGTATTAAGAAATGTATACTTGAGTGAGCCACGTAACTTCACAAATAGAAGTTTGTTTATAAATTGGTTCCAAATATGGATAAAACCGGTATATGTTCATCCCATTAATTTTTTTATTTAAAAAGTACATTGGCCAGTGTTTCTTGTACTACGCTGAGCTGCATCTTTTATTACATTTTATGCTTTAATATTAGTATCCCCACCAAGAAGATACTATTGCCCCTTTGCAGAAGAGTAAACTGAAATACCTCATTTGATGTCACAGAAATAGTGTAATGTGAATTTTCAACTCACTTCTAACTCAAAAGGCCTGTGCTCTTAATGACAGTTACAGCCAGCTTTCCTGTAGAGCTGAATGAATAAGATTGCTTATCAGTTTTCCTGTGGCTTTTTTTTTTTTTTTTTTTTTTTTTTTTTA